AAAGCGCGGCCCCGCGCTGCGGGATCGCCCGCGCCCGGCGCGCCGTCCTCACTCCAGCTCCCAGACCCGAAGAGTCGGATGCTGATCAGCAGGCGATTCACGTTTGATTCGAGTTTCGGAAAAACAAACCAAGAAAAGCCCTGGCACGCTTCACTAATAGCACTTCTCACCTGTGCGTCCCCGGAGACTCAGACCGTTAGTTCTCGGGTGTTTTAGGACACGGACTGCCTTGAAGGTTTTCAGAGTTGTAATTAGCTCTGTCTTCTGTCATTTAAATCCATTCTGGGTCGTGACTGTAACACTGCGCCTCAGGCAGTCTTTCCACACAATCCAATTTAATCCAATCCAGCTCAGCTCTAAGTACCTCGTTTTCATGGAATGAATTCGGGGCTTAGTTAGGTGATAGTTGTACAATTTACCTCTTACTGCCACCCGAAGAAAGTGAAAGTTGGAATGTTTGACCCCTTGTTGTATACACAGTTCCCAAAAGTTTAGTAAATGCTCAATATGTATTTGTTGAGTAGGTGAACCATATTAAAAGGAAAAGAAATAACCACTGGTTACTCAATATAACTACTGTTCTGTATGTATGAGGCCAAAGAAACACCCACATCTGACAACTCTTAACCCATTTATTCAAAGCATATCACAACCCGAATAGTGCGTTTACACAATAAGATTGCCTTGACCTTCCTGTGTAATTCCATTTATGCTGAAAATGAAATCATCTTTCTATTTGATGTTAGGGAAACTACTACTGAAGTACACTTCCAGCCCCGATTCAGTTTTAAATAAACTGAGGCACAAAAGAGGAGACAAACATTAGAACAAACTCTTTAATAAATAGCTTTCCAGACTTCTTTTGAAATGGGTCCAACAGAGCAAACGGTACTAAGATAGATTCCCTAACTCCAGTGTTAGTGAGAAGGGACTTGGGCTGTGTAGCTCCTACTACCTGGCCTCCATTTGTTCCTACCTTACCTAGACTTTGCATCAATCCCTTTGATAGATTGGTAATGTCTGAAACTGCACTGAAACACCCAAGTTATAGCCCTCTGAAACTGTGGTAAAATATGCAATGTTTGTTGAGCTGATAACCTTCCAGCAAAATTCTTTTCTGGGTAAATTAGTCAAGCTTGCTCTCTGTTGTTTAAAAACAAGATCCCTAGATTCTGTCCATGTCAGAGTCTTTGAGTGGAAGATCTTATAAGAACCATTTTAGCTTTATACCATGAAGTAAAGTATTCCTCTTGCCTAATCTATTTCACATCCTGCTGCTGAACACATAAGTATTTTCCCCCTTTTTAAATTTTATTATCAAAGTGATGTACAGTTACATAAGTGAGGAAGAGAGTACATTTCTTGTCGAACTTGTTAATGCCTCCCTCATTTTTCTCCCACTTACCCTTCCCTTCACCACCCCCACAAAGTTCCCCCTTACTTTCAATTCCAGTTTATCTGCTAAGAATGTAGAGACTGGTTTCTGTTTGGTTTTTCTTTGGGGAAAGGGGGGGGGGCAGTGGGAGAAATGAGGGCTTGAACCCAGAGCTTTAAAGTTGTTAAACTGAGCTACACCGTCAGCCCTGAAAACAGAATTTTTAATCTTATTTACCAAGATTTAAAATTACCACAATTATTTATTCATAAATTATATATTATAGTGCTATTTCTCAATATTCTTTTTTGCGGGGGAGCAGGGATGGGTGGATGCTGTCCCTAAGCTTTTTTGCTCAAGGCTAGCACTCTACCAGTTGAGCCACACCTCTACCTCTGGCTTTTGTGGTAGTTAACTTTCTTGGCCTGGCTAGCTTCAAATCACAATACTCAGATCTCAGCCTACTGAGTAGCTAGGACTGCAGGCCTTTTTGTTGTTGTTGGTCATGGGTCTTAAACTCTGGGCCTGGGCTCTGTCCCTGAGCTCTTCAGCTCAAGCTAGCACTCTACTACTTGAACCACAGCACCATTTCCAGTTTTCTAGTGGTTAATTGGAGATAAGTCTCACAGACATTCCTGCCTGGGTTGGCTTTGAACCACAGTGCTCAGATGTCAGCCTCCTGAGTAGCCAGGATTACAGATGTGAGCCACCAGTGCCTGACTTGATTTTTTTTTTAAGGATCAAAAGGTAACGGTTGGGACTGGGGGGTGTAGATCAGTGATGGAGCACCTTAATAAGCATGCAGGAGGCCAACAACAACAAACAAACAAAAAGAGCAAATGTGACTTAGACATTTTCCCAAATCCCACCACAGTTAGTGTTACCTTTCTCAGATTACAACAAATGAGACATTCTGATAACATGTCATTCTTTGAAGGTTTTCATAAATCTTTTTTTAAATAAAAAAATTATATTTATTTAGAAGCATTCAGAATGTTAACAAAACAGCTGCAACTTTTTTTTGCAATTACAGAGTGGTATTCAGTTAACAGAACCATTATTTCATATAAGCTGCGTCAGACAACTGAAGATGAAAAAACTACCATCCCCATATATAACTACTTTGTGCTGTGCACCAACAAGAACCTGCTTTAAATTTCCATGCCAATTTACAACCCCCATACTGTACCAGGCAAGGTTAGTGGCTATTGAAAATACCACCAGGACAGGGCTATCTAAAGACACATTCGGTAGTGTGTTAACTGTACAGAAAAAGACACTGTACAGTTTAAAAACAAATCTTACACAGCCTTACATTTCAATTTTTTTCTTTAAAAGGAGTGAGTTGTGTACAGGGGTGCTAAATGCTTTATAGACAAGAAAAAAAACCGCTAGAACCAACTTATTCATCATCATCCTCTTCATCTTCATCCTCATCCTCTTCTTCGTCCTCTTCATCTTTCCTCATCTTCCTCCTCTTCCTTCTTCTTGTGTCACGACCGCCTCGACCAGCAAGGAAGACGCAACACCGAACTCTTCTCTCTGCAGTTTATTCAGGGCCTTTGAGCAATCTTCTGACTGACCCCGGGGAGAATCCCACACAGCCTTAAGTACCCGCTGGGTAGCCAACCCTGATACGCCACGTGGGAACCACCAATTAGGTTCAGGTGCTCGGAAGCAAGCCAGATTCTATGCCTTAGCCGTATAAGGAGTTGTTTACCACAGAGAGCACTTGCCATCAGGAAGGCGGAGGGCGGAAGCCGGCGCCATAAGGTGCGGCTGCACGCAGCTCTCTACATTCTTGCTCTTTTCAGCCTTCACAACTCCTTTTTTTGCTGCATCAGGCTTTCCTTTAGCTCGGTAGGCAGCAATATCCTTTTCGTATTTTTCCTTCAGCTTCGCAGCCTTCTTTTCGTAAGGCTGCTTGTCATCTGCAGCAGTGTTGTTCCACTCTCCCAGTTTTTTTTTTTTGCAACGTCACCAATAGACAGGCCAGGATGTTCCCCTTTGATTTTAGGGCGATACTCAGAACAGAACAAGAAGAAGGCCGAAGGAGGCCTCTTGGGTGCATTGGGATCCTTGAACTTCTTTTTTGTTTCCCCTTTAGGAGGGATGTAGGTTTTCATTTCTCTTTGATAACGGGCCTTGTCTGCCTTGGCCATATCTTCAAATTTCCCTTTCTCTTTAGCAGACATAGTCTTCCACCTCTCTGAACCCTTCTTAGAAAACTCTGAGAAGTTGACGGAAGCATCCAGGTGCTTCTTCTTGTGCTCCTCCTGGCAAGTTTGCACAAAGAATGCATATGATGACATTTTGCCTCTCGACTTCTTTAGGATCTCCTTTGCCCATGTTTAGTTTTTCCTCCGCAAGGCACAGAGTCGCTCGGTGCCCATCCAGCTCTCGCTTGCCCCTGCGCTGTCTCTATGGAGCTCAATGTACTCTTCATAAGAAATCTTAATGATTATGCCCACTTGCTGTTCACTGTAACTATTTTTAAAAATTAGGAAAATGCCCTAAAATGAGATAATGGAATTATAACTAGATTCATCACCAAAAATCTCTTATTTCTTGTAAGATTGTAAGAGGAACCAAACACCTTCCTCTTTTAAAGCAATTACCTAGTTGCTGACTAATTTGTCTTCTCCCTAAAAAATCCAAATTCTCAGTTCTACTCAGACAATTAAAGAAAAAAATTATCTAAACACAGAAAGTTAACAATATACAGAAAGGATTGGAACCAACGGGGATAATGTGGTTACATCACCAATGGTAATACTGGAACTATTCAAGCTTTCTTGGTATGATAATATTCCTATGACACTGGTCATACCAGGGAAGGGTGAAGAGTTCCCAGTCACAGTGCAGCACAAGAGTTTGCAAAAGGATATGAGTGGAGTGAAAAGTATGGTGGTACACACCTAAAATCCTAGCCACTGAAAGTCTTAGGCAAAAGAATCACAAGTTCAAAACCAGCTTGGGCTAAATCGTAAGACCCTGACTCAAAGCAAGAAAATTAAACTTTTTTTTTTGTCAGTTGTCAGGGTTGAACTCAGGGCCTGGGCACTCTCCCTGAGCACTTTTGCTCAAGGCTAGTGCTCTACCACTTTGAGCTACAGGTCCACTTCTAGTTTTCTAGTGGTTAACTGGAGATAAGAGTCTCACAGACGTTCCTGCCCAGGCTGGCTCTGAACTGCAATCCTTAGATCTCAACCTCCTGAGTAGCCAGGATTACAGATATGAGCCACCAGTGCCTGACTTGATTTTGTTTGTGTTTTTATTTGTCATGGGGCCTGAACTCTGGACCTGGGCCCTGTCCCTCACCTCTTCAGCTCAAGGCTAACACACTACTACTTGAGACACAGCACCACTTCTGGCTTTTTCTGCTTATGTGGTACTGAGGAATCAAACCCAGGGCCTCATGCGTGCAAGGCAAGTCTACCACTGAGCCACCTTCCCAGCCCAAATTACTTTTTTTTTTGGTCGGTCGTGGGGCTTGAACTCTTGGCCTGTGCACTATCTCTGAGCTCTTCAGCTCAAGGCGAGCGTTCTACCACTTGAGCCACAGTGCCACTTCTTTTTGTGTGTGTATATTTTTTCTTGCAAAAATACTGTACAGAGGGGTAACAGTCACATGAGCAAGGCAATGAGTATATTTCCTATTGAACGCCATTACCTCCTTCTTTGTTTTTCCCCCACCATCCAAAGAAACAATAAAAGGAATTACTTTAAAATATTTGGGAAATGTAAATGATTAGGTTTTTGCTCTCTCCTCTAAAACAGGAAAGTAATCAATTCAAGTGGAAAACAGAATCATTCTTTGCTTGAAAGATTGGGAGGGTTGATGAAAATGAAGATTAAATGGAAATTATATCTATTAAATAACTGTTAGTCTATAAAAGCAATTTCACAACATATTTTATTCAATATTCACTTCCAATCTCCCATGAAATGTAATATAAATTTATATCAGGACAAAAGTATCATTAAACAGTAACTAAGGGATAAATCTAGAGCTTTAGCTCAAGCTTAAAATTTTTTTTTATTGTGAAAATACTGTACAGAGGGGTTACAATTACATGGGCAAGATAGTGAGTACATTTCTTATCAAGCATTGTAGCCTCCTCCTTTGTTTCCCCTTCCCATCCCTTCCCATCCTCCTCCCACCCCCCACCCAATCCTCGGTTCCCCCTACCCCCCTTCCTGCACCAAAGTTGTAAAGTTTTCGACATGACAACTTGTACTTCTCATTGTTGCAACGGGTCCACCTGTATCCTTATTTAAACGACTTGTTTTTCCCCTTTCCCTCCACAAATTATATCAACATCAAATACAGTGAAAGCAGGGGTTATACTGTGGGGGAGGGACACACAAAGCAACAAAGAAATAATCTTATAAATGCATTAGAAACATGCATGAAAGAAAAAAAACATTTATACATATCTTAGGGTTCATTTTCCTAACATCACCTTATCTGACCTTTTCTGCTTGACTCATACATATACTAGATATTGCAAATAAGGGAAACCATGGGACCTATATTTTTTTTAATTTTAACTGAAAGTTTGTCATCATTTTGAGTTAGTGTCTTACTTTGTGGCCCAGACTGTCTGGTCTTGAACTCCTGATCCTCATGCCCCAGCTACCTAAGTTAAATTTAACTGAAGCTTAATTCCAGCACTACAGTCTTTGCTATCTACTTTTAATTGAGAATATAAAACATTGGAGATGATCTTAAATTCTGTTCTCTGTGTTTTCTTGCTTCTGTGGTTCTTGTTTCTGTTTGGAAAACAGAATGGTTGCCTTCAAATGACTAGTTTACTTTAACCTCTGCTGCATCACTGATTCACTTTTTACTTATCTTTTAGAAAAAAACTGGAAAATCACAGACTTCACTTTGTTTTACAAGTATTTGTGTCATTTTTTATAAATATAAAAAGTTTGACTTTGTTCTATATCTAGATGGGTTTTTGCCACTACAACTCCATCTAGTAGCTTTGCTGAAACATAGATTCCCCATCACACATCCAGCAATCTGTCTCAATAGATGGGAGGCATCCTTACCCTTACGATGAGATGCCCACTGTTTGAAAACAAATCCACACACATATCTAAAAATTGATTACAAGCAGGAGCTATACAAATATTTTTCATTGTTGTTCATTTATAATTTATTCACAAGGATCTGGCTACTCTCTGTGCATAAAACCAAAAATTGGAAGAAAAAAGAATAAAAGTCATTGGAAAACATGATTTATTTTCTGTATATTCTTGGTACATATTAAACCCAGTTCATTACTTGAGATGTTCTTTGATACCAAATATATGGACGTTAACACACAGGAAGTTGAAATCTTCCTCCAAAGTGTATGTTGGGGCTGAGGAGGTAGCTCAGTGATACAGTTCTTGCTTAAAATGTACAACACCCTGAGTGTGATCACTAATACCACAAACAAAATATGGTATGCTAAAGCCAGGTATGAGTGTCACACCTTTAATCGCAGCACTTAGCAGGCTGAGGTGAGAGAAGAAAGAGTTTTGAGGTCAACTAGGAGTACATATGAAGACCTTGTCTCAAATATAGGTACACACACAATACATTATAGATTATATGTATATTATATAGATAGAAAAAATGATTAAGATAATACCATAGCAATTAATTTGCAAACAACTATAATATTAGCCAAGGTAGTATAAGCTAGGCTAAGGTACCAGACCAGGTACAGGATGGCCTATAGTGCAAAGCACCTGTATTTCATTGGTAAATATTTTTTCCATGCAGTGTTCAATGCCATCTTGTGCCTTCCCCATATCCTAGGGCCCATGGATGGAATTCAAGTGTCCACCAACTCCCAAAGAGTCTCTGGATAGAATTCAGTGCTGTCATCATGTGGGAAAATATGTTATTGTTAACTGTGAACTGGAATTTATCATATACCCTAAGTGTGATTGTAGGCAAAACCCACAGAATATTAACAATACTTATGATTTGTATCAACTGTACATCACAATAAGTTATTACTAATTTTAAAGATCTCTCAGTGATCTTAATAGTTAAAGTCCTTTCTAGATCTGCTTTTGATCCTGTATTTTAATGTATGTGTCAAAGGATTCTGTTGTAACAAGTCCTTAGCCTAGATTCTTACCATCTCAACTTCCTGACATTTATGTCCTTGTGTAATCCCCTCACAATGAATCAAATATGGAGGAAATGATGAGATGTCATTTCTGCACTTAATAAAATTTGGTTGATTCGGTGCCATCTTTGAGCACATGTTCTGGCAGAAGTCCCTTGCCAGGTCTTGAGGAAAGATAGGTCAATATGGCAAAGACCTGAAACATAACAAAAGTCATTCAAGTGAGTTTGAAAATAGAACTTTTTTTGCCAGTCTTGTGGCTTGAACTCAGGGCCTGGGCACTGTCTCTGAGCTTTCTTTTTTGCTCAAGACTAGCACTCTACCATTTGAGCCAGCACCTCTTCCAGCCTTTTGTGTTTATGTGGTACTGAGGAACCCAGGGCTTCATGCTAGGCAAGCACTCTACCACTAAGCCACATTCCCAGCCCTGAAGTAGAACTTTTAAACCTGAAGATGAGTGTAAATACAATCAGTTCCCTTGATTATAGCCTTTCTACAGACCGTGATTCAGACAAACCACAGGGATAAGCTCTTCCCAGACTCCTGACCCACAGTAAACAATCATGACATTTTGGGAGTAATTTGCCATATGGAAAAGTAATATATATTATATCACTAACTTTCTAAATACTCAAATGGCAGAGTATCTGCTTATTATGCACTAGGCCCTGAGTTCAAAACCCCAGAACCACAAAAAAGAGAAGCAGATGGTAATAACAAAAAGCTTGTGAAGTTGTCTTCATTCCAAGTAATATCTGAAGAGTTGGTGCTATAGAGAATTAATTGTGCACAAAATCTAGATTTAGAAAAACAGAAATCAATTTCTTTCCAAGTTTTTAAAATGAACTTTGTGAGGTTACTGATATAGAAATGGAATTTTCCTTGGGTTATTGAACAAGGAGAGGGGTTTGATCATTGTTATATATTCATTCCTTAACAAACCTTTGGTAAGGTTTTATTATATAGCTGGAACTATAAGAAATGGAGAAATCTGAGACTGTCAACGCAAGAAGCCTGCAATGGAATAAAGGTTTGTGTCCCTCCAAAATTCATTATGTGGAAACCATAATCTCAAAGTGATTATATTTAGAAATACAGCCTCTGGATGGTAAATAGGTTGTAAGGGTGTGACACCACTCATGAACAGGATTTGTGGCCTTACAAGAAAAACACAGGGAGCCAATACTCTCCATCATGTAAAGATCAAATGAA